TTCGCTTTGAGTTGGGGTGCTGTGTCACCGCAGATGTACGGTGCTGGGTTTCTGTTCAGCATTTGCTAACAGCAGTAAGTTTTTTGATATACGGTTATATGGTGATGATCGTGAGCACGTCCCCCAAGACGTTTTGTGGGGGGTGTCATGGGTATAAGGAGCAGGTCGAACGTGAGGGGCCCTACTCGCGCTCTGGCACGCGGCTGCACACGCACACGCACACGCACGTGCGAATACCGTTGGTCGGGTCACAGAGCGAAATTGCAGTGCCTTTGTAACAACAATATCTTGTTTCCATGCCGCGTTCAACAAAGTTCAGCTGCGGGCCTCGCAACTTCCCGCGGTCCGAACGCATTTCATAAAAAGACGTTGGCCGTTGCACCAAAATAATTTTAATATTACCCAGGATTATGTAGACCTCAAATCCAATGCAGTTTTGCTACATGCGGCATGCTCGGGTGCTTCATGTTTGACCACAGGCCGCGTCACAGAACTGCAAGAATACGGCCCGCCTGCAGGACCGAATGCACTGCAATACTATAGAATTATAAACCCTTCAAAATCATGCAAACAGATTTTCAAAATACTACTCCATCATGGAAATCGCCTCCTCCTAGTAATAGGCAAATAGGGCCGGTCATCCGTGAACAGCACCCGCTGCCGGCTTGCGCAAGGATTCTCTGCGCGCGCTCCACGCCCGCGCGCGCAGCGAGCACAAGGATTTCCTAAAGTGAAATGTCTTTTGTTTCGCGGAAAAATATGTTGGTATGTGTGGGTGTGTGCGGCAAGCTGTGCCGGACGCTCGTCCGTCCGGCCGAGCGAGGGTCGCAGCGTCCGGCAGTGGGGATACATGATCCACACATTAATGTTTTCTTCGCAGAGTAACAATCTCACATTTTCATGACATCAATTATGATGCAGTCCAAGCTCCGAAGTGGTGGTCCTGCCCTCAGTGGTGCATCGCGGAGATGCTGCGTTAAGGTGTATGCAAAAGTTAGCACGAAGGATGGCCAGCCACGTGTAATTAAGGGGAAGTGCTTTGTGACTCGTGATGTAAGATTTAACTGAGCCGCCGCTTGTTTTAGGAATTCGCCGGGCTGCGCTCTTCATATGTCCATTGGCTTATTTGCAGAATATTGATACTGATCAGATTATTCCAGCGGAGTACCTCACTCTTGTCCCATCCAAGGTAGGGGGTCCGACGGGGAACATAAAGTGTTAGCGCACTGTTTCCAGCCATTTCGTTATTGCAGCCCGACGAGTATGAGAAACTGGGGAGCTATGCCTTAATCGGTCTTCCAGATAACCTTTATCCAAGCAGGTAAGTGTTCATAGGAACACCAATGCACGCACTGCATTAGCTTATTCTTGCCGCGGAGCCGCAGGTATGTGAGGGATGGCGAGATGAAGACCGCCTATCCTATAATTATTGGCGGGCAAAACTTCGGCTGTGGCTCGTCACGCGAGCACGCGCCCGTCGCGTTGGGTGCAGCTGGTGAGTTGCTGCTTGATGTTCTTGAAGGTCCTCGAGCCTCGAGGGCTCGACATAAAATTGGATAATGTGTATTGCCTAGATGTTCGCCGTAATCACTAGGAGTCTACGTCTTGCCCACTGCATCGGCCTACTTCTTCACCTCTGGCGCTTGCGCTCCTCTCCTAACAGGTGCTAAGGTCTGCGTGGCGGAGTCGTATGCCCGCATCTTCTTCCGCAATTGCATCGCGACGTAAGTGAATGTTCGGGTCTATGGCGCATCTCGAGAGGAAAATCCTGCTTGGAGTAGGTGAAGGCTAAGCTCTATGACCTGGCAGCTGATCCAAGCTGTTATCAATGTGCACGAACTGCTTGTCCCTCCCTTTCGTGGACAGGGGCGAGCTGTACCCCTGTGAAACTACAGTGCGGCTCTGTGATAAGTTGACAACGGGTGGGTTCCTTCTGTCGACGTCCGGGTATCTTTTATTTCAGCCCGGGCGTAAAGTAGTATTTGGTCAGGTTTGGACAGGTTATTCAGACAGTGGTAAATATCAATAGCTTACTGCTTATTGTTATGCCTTCAGTAACCTCCCCCAGTCACCACATTCTTTCCTGTGATGCTTCTACCATGAGAGGCGCAACATAAACCATCTCAATGTGATACTTTCATACAGATCCATTTGGAATTGCCCACCTATTTCCTTACAGGCTCCGATGTTACAGTAGACATGGAAAATAACATTCTGACGGACCACAGCACCGGAGCGACATACCCGTTGCAGGAGATTGGCGAGGTGCGCGGCGTGTAATGGATGGATTTCCTAGTTTTACGAGGTGGGCTGTGTTATGCCGATGCACGGTGTTTTCTGAGCTTTTTGTCGGCTGGGCTTGAGAAGGGTACAACGAGCTTAAGCTTATAATGAATTAGGGATCCCTCTGCGGGCGGTGTTCCTTCCTCAGGCGGGACCGGTCATCGATGCAGGCGGCATTTTCGAGTATGCGCGCAGACAGGGGATGATCAAGACTGTGTAGGGTGGCCCTTGGAGAGGGTTGATATGCAACCGTACTGTCGGCTGCAGACAGGATTGGCGAGGAATGCTCGGGCAGACAATACCTTATTGCAGCACGAGCCTTGGCAAGGCGAATGGCGATTGTGCGCTGTGCGACGGCCTGCTCCATGGAGTGACAAATGCAGGCATGGATGTGAACTTTGTGCTGTGAGTAGGGTGTTGAAACGGAAGTGAAACGGAAATTGTAATGTTGGCCTCAGCAAAAACATCGTTTGAAGCTCTACAGTGAACGGTTCCCACTATGACGACGGGTAATCGCGTTAACGCCGCGTTAGTTCGCGTAATGGTGCGAATCTTAGCGTTAGGTGCGAATGAGCATGCTTTTGTAACGGCTATGGAAAAGCGGAAATCGGCCCTTCTGGCTAAATTTTTAAAATTAAGATATTGAGTTTAAAAAAAATTAAGATATAAAGGTTAATTTGGAAATAAATTTGCCTCGTTTTGGTCGACTTGAACAATTCATCGGTGCGTATGTTGAAACGCAAACCAACGCGAAGCATACGCGGATGTGTGGCAAGGCGATACGCATGCGATTACGTATTATTGCGATTCATGTGTGTGGGGAGACAATGCGTAAACCAATACGCGTCCGAACGCACATGAAACGCACACAGTCCGTAAGGCTATTCGCATGCAAATATATGCTGCAATTCATGCGTATGAAGGCTCATTGCTTAAAGCTTAATGCGGCCTAAGCTAACACACACCAAGCACACACGATTTGCCTTTGATTAATCGCGTGAAATTATAATTAGCATGCGATGTTGTGTGTGTGTGTGTGTTACATGGTTGGGGGTGCGTGACAGCGTTTTTTTTTTTGCGGAATAATCCGAATTCGGAATAAAAAATTGTTTGCGGTCCTGAAAATCTAGAATAAATAATGTTCCGACCGTACAAGTTCATTCCTCCAGCCAAAAATGGACTGTTTATGCCAAAGCCGCTAGAAATTTACAAGAGACATACATGTTAACCATATCATAGTACTTAGATGCCATGGATAAAGTTAGTATAAAGTTAACAGTTAGTATAAAGTTAACAGTAAACAGTTAGTATAAAGTTAACAGTACTGTTAGGAAGGTCACGCCCGAAAGTCAACGCGGAATCGGGCTGTTTCTGACCGGACCAAACGCTGCAAAATATTCGGACCCGAAGCTCCCAAAACGTGGAAGGCCATTAAAGCAGATATTAAACTTCACTGAAGCCATTAGCGACGTTAATGAAGACGACTTAGAGGTCGTAGGCAATGAGGACAATGCTGCAGCCAACCGACAACAATGACGCCACTCCGGTTGTGAACAGCGAGAGGGCCAAACGTCAACGTTCTTCATACGAAGACAATCGCTATGGGCCAGGAAA